CTGCTTCATGTAACGACAACTAGCCTGCTTACAAACTCAGAGCAATAAGTCTACATTTTGAGCAATAAAGAGTTTTGTACTTTCTTTGTTAGATGGCAAAATCTATGCCACCATCGGGGAGTTAGCTTAGCTTAGCATAAAAACTTGGATCGGGGGAAACGGCTGGCCTGACTCTGTCCAAAGGCAGTGGTGGAAGAACTTCACTTAAACACAACTTTGTATTTTACTTGAGTACGGTATTGTAATGACAACATATACTACTACACCTACCTAAGTTTAACACTTTATAACATACTACATGTTTAGTTTGCAGCATCAATTACTTTGCATGGTTATTTATTTATGAATTAAATGATAATAAATCAAATTTCTTGACCATATTAGGTTAATTTTCTTGCAAAAAATACTAAACATTTTATGATTCCAGCTTCTCAAATGAGCATTTTTTTAAGCTTTCTCTTTAAATTGAAGAACAAAACAAGCATTGTGATAGTGTCGCTTGGGTCGTAATCTCAATGTTTGCAAATCTAACAATCGATTTGTCAAGAATATAGTGATCCATCCTAAAAATATGTATGAAAGTGTTAGAAATTAGCAGTTCAATTATCTACAGTAGTCCCATGTAGATGGCACATGAATGCATAACAGTACATTTGTCACAGTGTTTGTTTTCTGCATTCAGTACTTTTGCTGTTAGTATATTTCCGTGGTCAGACTTAACACAACTTTTATGGAGTGTTTTTTTGGGTTTTTTTTACAGTGTGGTGTCTGTTACTTTTACTTTCAAAAATTTTGGTTATTTTTTCCCATTTTTCGGGGTTCGGTGGTGTCGGTATCGTTCTATTTTTTTTTATTTTATTTTAGTCTTGTCTTCTTGCTGACTTTTTGCCTCCTTTGTTTCTTTTTCATTTAATTTTCCATACAAGTTGTTGTTTGCTGTGGTTTTCGCGGCTCTACTTGGTTTTGTTTGCTTTTGTTACCTTTGGGCTCGGTGAGCTTTATGCTTTATGCTAAGCTAAGCTAATGGACAGGTAGTTTTAGCTTCTTGTTTGGTGTGCAGACATGTGAGTGGTACTGATCTCTCACCTGAGACTTGGCAAGAAAGTGAGTGAGTGTATTTCCAAACTAAACTACTATTTAAGATTTAATTTAAGATTAGTGCTGAATAATTGGTGAAATAGACTGAGGCCTTTTCTTATCTTTTAATTACATAAAATGTTCACACACTGGTTATTTATTCCACTGACTGGACACAACACAGAAACAGTTTAAAGCGACAACAATTTTGATGATTTAGTCCATTTTTAGTTTAATTTATCAAACAAACAAATGTGTATTAATTGTAAGTTTTGAGGATTTAACAAAAAATAAATATATTTCACCCATATACTTAGAAACCCCCAATTTAAGACATCAATTTTTCACAGTTTTTCAGTTTTCAACCAGTTACCTCATAATGAAAGCAGCAGTGTGTTGCAGTTTGGATGATTAATTGCCATTATTTAAAGCATGCTGTTTGTTAGTTTTGTTTTTTCATTGCTGTCATTATCTAAACAGCAGATTTTATTTTTGAACATGGGAATAGTTTGATCCACTCCTTGTTAAAACCATATAAAAATAGCTTTAGAAGAACCTGGCCCTCGAGTTCAGGATAATTTGTCAAACGCGTGCACATTCTTGATAGGGATGAAACTAACTGTAACCATGGCAACTCCTCCTATTGAGCCCCGCAGGACTGTGTCTTTTCCCTCATTCACTCCTTTTCCAGGTGGAGTTTTCAACACTCAGGACTTCACACGACTAAATAATGTTAGATCTTCTCTCTCCTCCTGCTCGCACTGCTGACAGAACTCTATCTGGAGGTAATTTTGAGTGGGGAGGTGTTTGGGGGAAGATTGATTCCCCTCATGGTATGCTCTGCCAGTGGTTTCCAATGTGATAGATGTGTTTTTATAGCCCGCCCACCGTATGGGAAGACATATGGTGACATGAAATGGGGGTTTATAGGTCTGGGCTCAATGAGACTTTTCCTAAAAATCCTCTTTTCCTTCTCAGCAGAAGTTTTTTTTCCCGCCTATATGCCTCAGGCAGCCACTTTATATACAGTATTTCTCTTGAACTTCAGACAAAAAGAGATTTCTTCACAATCATTTCCGCTGGCTGGCATGATGATGTTAATGTGATACACACTTGAAAAAAACAATTAGTTCACATGTAAGACAATTTTCTTAAAAGGAATAGTTCTATGTTTTGAGAAATCGCTTTATTTACAGAAGCATACATTGAACTCCTGGCTGTATATTTATTATGCAAATGCACAGCCAGGAGGCAGTTAGCTTAGCATTAAACTATAAATGAGGAAACAACCAACTTGCATCTGTCCAGATAATAAAATCAGCGTACAAGCACTTTTACGTGTTATATCTTGTGTCTTATTTGTTTAATTTGTGCAAAAACTCGAATATAAATACAACACACCTCAAGATAAATTGTGGTAAATGAGGTTTGAAAATGCTGGAACGGATTCAGGCTAGCTAGTTGTTGCTAAGTTAAGTTAGCAGCCTGTGAGTTGTAGCGTCTTATTTGGCTTTTATTAATATTTTACACAGCTTTGCACTGTCTAATTTAAATATTGACACTGACAGATTATATTGTTGAGTTGTTACAACCCCAGCTCAAGGGAAGCAATATAGAGAGACCTAACGAATCAGTAGGTTGTAAAGTATGTCTTTATTGCAATCAAAATTATTAATAGACCAGAAAATGGTGGCCATAACAACCCTGCTGATACTGGCTGCCAGGTTGAAGACAGAGAATCTAAGTGTAGCTTGAAAGGGTTATTAAAGGTTGACCAATGGGTGCCAAGAACAAGTGGCAACGTATGGACCTGAAAAATGGAGCCAATGTAGAAATGCCAAAAGCTTTTTATGGCCACTTCAGGCTGGCTTCAAAAGTGAGTTAATCCCCACAGACCTTCATTTTAAAATTTCCAAATTTACAGCAGAAATAAAGGTGTTTAAAGCAAAAAACAGTTTTGGCTAACTTCCTAGTTCATTATGGGGTAAAAACTTATTTAAAGCTTACAGTTAGACATAATTAAAGTCATGGTGCCATCTTAGGACAGTCCATGGATTGGAAATGTTTTCATGGCCCACCTCAGCTCCATTCACGTTCCACCTCTTTGCTCATTTTTGGATTAGCTGAATTTTGGAGAAGTCAAGCTCTGATGGCTGAAACCATCAAAATGAGCTTCAAAACCGCTGCTCAGGAAATTGGAATGAAGTCACGGGGTGTTGATCCAACAAGGAAAACGCAAAGGACAAAGATTTGAACATAACAAGGTATACTCAAAAATTCACTCATCCAGTTCCATCCAGAACTGACAATACACCCATCCTAATGTGGGTGGTGGGCCCACTGGGTGGTGCCTCTATGGTTCTTTTGAGCTGTGCCAGACTGAGGCCAATGGTTCAAGGCCAGCTTCTCTTCCGAGCTCCAGGAAGAGGCCTTCTCAGCTTGTTCATATGAAGTCTATGAATCGCTCTTTGTCTTGCTTCTCCTTTGGCCCCAATTTTCCTTGGTAAACCCTACCAGAACCCAGGGTCAGGGAGCCTTACAAACCCCTTCACCACGATAAGGTGGCTTGGGCATCTTCTTTTGGAGGTTTTCTGGGCACGTCCACCTTAAAGGAGCCGTAACATGCTGGAGAGATTCTGGAGACGGTATGCAGTATTTCCTCTCGTGTGGAAACACCTCAGGATGCCTCAACCGAAACTGGAAAACGTTGCTGGTGAGAGGAATGTCTGAACTACCTTAGCCAGCTGCCGACATGACCTGGCTTGGAAAAGTGGAAAGAAGTAGATAAATGGATCTCCAGAATCATAAAAAAAAAAACTGTTTCTTAACTTTCTACAGTCCAAAAGTGGCAGCTTTTTTCAAAACCCAAATGCCTTTGTTCTGTTGCGAAAATCATTTAGAAACAAGAGAAGCTGTTGAAGACATGTACTCATTACAGGGTACTGTCATTGTAAATGTGTTATTCATTCTTCAAACTCTTCCTCAAAGATAAATTACTTTGGATACATAAGATTGCTTTACCTGAATGCCAGGTTTTCTCTTTGTTCTCAGTAAAACACAATTTTAAGGCTACATGTTACGTTTTTTTTTTAGATATTTTTGCAACCGAGGCAAAGTCAGAGTGAGAACAAAAGCTTTTGCTGTGAATAAATCTTAAAACAGCAGCTGACTTTGCTAAATTTTGTTGTCAGCGGGGAAATTAAGAGGCTGTTTGATTCTGTTGTCATCAGTGCAGATTCTTTATGCAAAGACTGTTCCCCTGTGATGAATAGTGGGCGTTTCCCCCCTTCTTTGGATTCCATTAATAACCGTGTTTACAGGCTGCTAAATGATGCAGCTCTAGTTGGTGTTGCCTGAACACATCCCTCTCTGCGGAGCGATCTATTTGTGCCTCGTTGAAGACTGGAAAAGTTAACAAAAACCCATTTTGTTTTCATGGTCTCTTCGTTAATGTTTGTGATGGATGATGACATGAGGAGGGAGGAGGGGGGAAAAGTGCTCCGGTACAGGAACTGGAATAAACAGTCGGGCTCATAACTGCTCACTCATCATGTCTTCCTTAAAAGCCCGTCTGATTTGCCCTTCTGTTTTTGATAAAAGATAATGGTGCAAATTAATCGCTATTGCTTGCTGAAGCCGCCTGCAGCAGGAGGCCGGAGACAGAGAGTGAAGTGATGGTTGTCGGTTAATGGGGAGCTTTTAATTTTGTTCTGGAGGGCAGATTTGTTGCCTTCCTGAAAAATACTGTAAGTAGCTTTAATGAGGGAAGAAAGGCAGGAGTGGGGGCGAGAAAAGATTGCTGCTAAAGGATAAATCTGCCTTATTAGTGGTGCATGACACAATGTATTTCTAAGCAATCTTCTCCTAAAATTCAGCGTACAGCAGGAACTAACATGCAGTGTGCTTTCTCTTTTCTCCTTCAGGGTTCATCTATACCGGTGACGTGGTCCACCGGATGCTAACAGCGACACAGTACATCGCTCCTCTCATGGCCAACTTTGACCCAAGTGTCTCCAGAAACTCTACCGTCATCTACTTTGACAACGGTAACACCACTCATACCTTACTTTTGTTGGAATTAGTAGCAGTTGTGTACTTTATCTTGTGCTGCATGATGAATGAGACACAAATCAGCACTTGAATCAGCTGTTTATTTAACTACTTAAGGGAACTTACGTCTCCTGCAGTAAACTGTGAGGTAAAAAGCTCCAGAGAATACAAAAACAAGAAAAAAAAATCATCAAGCCAAACTCTGATTAGTAAATTTAGCCTGACTGATTGCAATTATTTGAGCTGACTGCAGTTATTTTGCAGAATGGCGTCCATGCATTTGGATAAAACTAACAGAAATGTCACATGTCAGTCACATCGTTTTCCACCCCTTCTTCTGCTACGGTTTAATGGCGATAACTGCTTATCTTGAACCAATTAACTTTGAGTAATCAACTGACTGCATTTCAGTAAGCATCTATTGACATTAATGTCATGGAATTAGTAGCAAAGTCAAACGCCACGGCTCCGCTATGAGCACATGATGGCTTTGGGCCAAGTGAAAAAGGAGAGCCCAGTGACTGAGAGGAGGCAATTTGTCGGATTAGCCGCAGAAAGGCGGCGGTCACAGATGCTAATGCCACTAATTTAAAAATAATAGAAGCATAAAATGAACAGAAAAAAGACAGTTAAATCTTTAAAGACCCCCTCTGGTGAAAATCAAGTTTCTTGAATTTATCATATCATGAGCGAAATTAGCAATAGATGCCGTAAGTGAGCATTTTTTTCCTCAAAAATAGTGATTTATATGCAACAAACCAAAGTAACCAATCCTGGCAACTTGCAATGTGGGGTCTTTCACACAAACAGGCTTTGGATTCAAACATGTGTGACTGATATGCTCCAGTATTATGACTTTCTACTGAGAAACTTTATAGTGTTTGAGCAGAGACATAGGTGACATGTTCTGAAGTTGCAATGAGCGTTACATTTTAAGACATGAATGGATTATTTTCTAGGAAAAAACTTGTCAGAGATCTAAGGTTGATACACAGTGATGAGTTTTTAGGGGGTAAATCAATGGAGAGGGACTTTAACTACACTTGACCATTAACTGCCAACTAAACTTTCCTGATCGTGACTGCCCTACATAATGCAGCAAAACAGTCAATCTGATAACGTGATTCACTAACTAACTAAATATTTCAGAGGAGTAAACTGTATATGAACTCACGATGGGGACACAATCTATAGAGCTGCATACGTATCAGTCCTATTGAGAAAACTAATATAACACATAGTTAAAATACCTATTAGCAAAGTTAAACTAACAAATAACTTAATTTCACAACGGGAAGTCGGGTAGCAAATATTTTAATATATGCTGGTATTTTAAACCATTGTGAGCAATGCCACTAAACAATGAGCAGCACTGCTTGATTGCAAGCCTGATTTTTGCATAAATATAATAAGTACCTCAATTTGTCTGGGCTTTTGTTTGCTGGAAATGGGCAAAAAGCAAACAGGCATTTCTAACTGTTGTTTTATTCAGTAAGAAAATGTAATGTATGTGTGTGTGAATGTAAACACAGCAATATGAAATGATTGTCTCTGAGCTCACACAGTGTGGTTATTGTGTAAAGTGATCAACAGAATTAAGGAATATAGTTCATGGCTAACACTACAAGAGCTGTCCTCGGAGTTACTTCTTAAAGTGTCATTTCTTTATCATTAATCTTTTTTTTAAGAAACCTTCCAAGACCTCTTTAACAGCCCCCTAAATTCCACTTACTCACTTTAATCTAAATTGATGCCCTTCTTCACTCTCTGTACCTTCCCTTTGCCTCCTGTGATGGTTGTTATCCATCATGTCCGTCATCGCTGTCTAATCCCTCTGCAGCACAGTTACTGACCAACTGTGTGACCTTCTGCAGTGGAGCTCATCAGACTTTAACCAAACTGGCAGCTGATCGATTCGCAGCCTGCCTGCTCCTCAACACACTGTCCATCAGTCAATGTCCTGCCAATACGACATAAGAACTGAACGGTCTGCTCCGCTGTGGAGGAGTCAGAGGCCAGCTCTGAAAATGAAAAACGTTTGGGAGCAGTTATGCGAGGCGTCCGCAGCAGAGACATATGTTTGTCCTGCACAGTAAACAAGACCGCGTGAAACTTCACAGCGAAACTTTGTCGTCAGATTCGCAAGAACAGAACTTGTTTTTCTTTGTTAAAAACTTGCTAAATAAAGAACACTTGTGATTAGTTAGGACATCATTTTCTCAAGTCGTCTGCAAAAAGCATCTTGAGCACTTACAGAGGAGTGAAGTGTTTTTCAACACCTGACAGACTGTGAGTGTGACTGTCGCTGCCAGCGGGTCCATGTTGACGGCATTGTGGTAAAAATACCACTTTCAAGATGTCTGACACAACTAAAAAAGCTCTGCTGTAACTTTCACTCGTGGCACCAGACGATCATTTATCAATCTATTATTCAGTGATTAATTTCAACCCTCAGCTGCTGTTAATACGTCTTCTTTATTACATTAAGAAAGGCACAGTGTTACAAGCACGGGAACAGAAGACCAAACATACTGAAGTCTGACTTAAAATGAACTATTCCTCTTTTCACAAAAGACATTCTGACATGTCAAAGTGGAAAAAAGCGCAGATGTAAATAATAAAATTACAGTTTAAAGCAGAGTTCCTTGTAGCTGCTTTGGTTTCATTTGCATGATGACTCACTGTCAGATCTCATTTACACGTCTTGTATCACATAACTATCAAACCTTAAAAACAAGTAGGTGTAAATGCATCCAAGGGGGATTCAGGGCAGGTTGAGTTTACTTAGAAGTGGAAAAAGGTGTAAATGCAACCATCTCACCAACATGTAACGCGCTTTAATTGTAACTGCATCAGACGCATTTGGATTATTTCGTGAACACGCCGACAGACAGAAGAGGTAAAAGAATGTCGCCGTCATCTGATCCCCAATCAGCTCGACCACTGAATGAGCTGTGGGGCTGAGAGAGCATTGACGTTTGGATAATGAAGTGTCCGTGAGTGACATCCCCCTGAAGCACGGCGAGCTGTTTTAACATTTAAAAGCTAGACTGGATATGTATTGCAGATATTCAGTCCCCCCCCCCCATCAAAAAGCATATTTCAGATCTCCACAGTGTCCCTCCTCTGACCGACAATTGCCATTTCAGATTTCCACATCGTTATTCTTCTGAGGACAAATGACGCAACTTTTAGCATTTATGTGTATTGGGTTTCATCATTGCAGATATGTACAGTTCAGCTGCAGAATTATGGGATATCTACAGTTTATTTTACACCTGATTTCTTTATTACCCCTTTGAATCAACATTTCTACATGGTCCTCATTAGAAGTCTTCAGTAAAGTTTTAACTAGCCTCAATGATCTTGAACTGGAATTCTGCCCAGTCCAAATTTAATTACAGATATCTTAAAATGGACATTGCACATATCTGCAGTTACCTTAGACACTATGGCAGGTGGGAAGCGAGGGCGACACATGCTATGACACTGTTACTGCAGCCACATCTTACAAGCCATTTTACCACCATGTCAGAGCAGCCTGAGGCCAGAGTTCGTAAATTTCAACGACAAGTCTTTGAAGGATGTAGCTCTCGCTCTCCACAGACTCCTGGCTGATGAGCTTTTCCTATTTTATGGCATTTTCTAATGATCTTATCCAACACAGGAGCTAACATTACTTCAGCTAACATCAACACCCAATAGGAAGATGTGCAGTGACATGGACAACAGGCAATTATTATCTCAGACTCAGCTTTTAAATGTTGCCTTGGTTGAGACATTTTTTATCGATAGTAATTAACTAATTACACACTTTCTATGAGTTTTTATAAGTCACCAGACATCTTCTGGAGTGTCACCACCACAGTGTGGGCTGGGGTGGCACTGACCTGGACTTACATTTACCAAGTTGATTGATTGGAGTCAAACTGAGCTGATCTGATCAACAGGGACACATGATTTAAGTGGCTGCATGTATACAAAAGTGTACTAGTCATCTGGATTTTACTTGGATATTCGTTTGCTTGTTTGCCCATCACTGTCTTCATGAGATCTCTTCAACTTTTTTTGGAGTTTTTTTCTTTTCCGATTCAATCAGAAGTTTCAAGATGACGCCCGGTGATATTGGACTATTTCAATAAAACTGCTGCTGATGAAAAACATCCTACAATTTAACACTGCATACATTACAATAAAATCACAAGAAAACCATTCAAGACAAGTTGAAAGAAAAGTTTAGACACCAGAAAATAGAATTAATAAAAGAAATACCCGTTCATAAGTGACTTCTCCAGGCTGAGGGCGTGCTGCTGTAATGGAGCTGGATTTGTTTTGCTTGTTTCAAGTTCATACAGCATGTTAAGCTTGTAAGTGGAAATAGAAACAAGGCCAGCGTGTGCTCCCTCCACGCCTCCTCACCCACTCTGTATTTTTAGCCAGGAAGCCCCAGATAGCAGGGCAGCCTTCCCCTCCTGAACTCAATGCATTTTAAGTAGACTTATATTAGGCTTAACTTGTGCTGACTGAGTTAATAGCAATTTAGTGCTCCGGCTGCTGATATTCATTACATTCCTCCTCCTTCCTGAACGCCTCCCTGCTTTCCCTCGTGCCTTGTATTTGGATTGCCGTTAACCCGTCATTAAGTTATGAAAATATTAGTCAAGTGGTATTAAATACCAATAAAAATCTAACTTGCTCTGACCTCCTTCTTCGACACGTGACACCTCCTTGTCCAGCACATGTCATTTATTACAGGGTTTCCTGTCCAACCGCTCTCCAAACTGTCAGCAGAGAATCTAAATCTTGTTTTTACTTTCAAACCAAGCGCTCCGACCGTGTGATGGAAAAATTGATTGGTTGTGTTAACAAACCTTTATTGCCCTGGCGGCCTTCCAAATGGCTAACTCAGAGGGGGGGGGGGACGGCTCTCATGTCAATGGCTTCTCCAAAGTCCTCAGTAAATCAAAAATAGTGTTAGAAGCAATGCGAGGCCCGATGCGGCGCGGGTCTGGTGCTAATTTCCAACTTCCCCAAATTGAGGCGACACCACATGATGAGTCTTTGTGGTGAAGTGTGATTTGAAGTCACAGTATTTGGAATGAAGTTATAATAAGTTGCTCACGCTCTTCTACTCATTGAATCATTCACTTACTCTACATTCACTTTGCCTCTAGAGATCTTTATGATGCTTTTGTACAACTTTTCAGTCCCAACACATTCATTTTTGACATATTTTATCGTTTAGCTACAGTGGTATATCATCCCCCTTCACATCACCTTCTTTCATTGTCAATTAATCTGCTAATTTTTTGGTCGATAAAGTTTTATTATGTTAGAAAAAAGAACCAAATCCTTTCCATTTACTTGCTGGAAATTGATCATATTTGGCATTTTTGCTTTCAAAAACACCAAACAAATGATTTTGGTTGCGGATTTGGTTGCAAATTAATTTCTTGTGGATTAAATAATTGATTAATTGACTCGTTGTTTTAGCTCTGGATACAGTAGAATCAGTTTTTCCTGCATAGATGTTTAGACTTCTGTCCTGTCGACTGCTACCCCAGTAAAACGAAGTGCTCCCAACCTGCATGTTTTCGTACACTGTGTCGTAGAAAATTGTTCTGTTTGCCACATTTTGATTAACTTGAGTCACCCGAACATTTCTGGGGGGAAGAAGTATCTAATTTTTCATTACAGTTATACTCTGCTGAAGCGATGCTGGCAAGTTCTCTCAGCCGGTGTATTTCCATTCACATTCAATCCCCACCTTCAGAAAAAAAAAAAAAGTCATTTATAGCTCTGTCATTCTGCACATTCTTTCCCAGCGTGAAAAAACTTTCACTGTAGCGAAAATTGCCCGAGCTACATAATCCATCACAGCGACGGCCACGCCTCGATCTGGTTTTGTCAGAAGCTCCAGTTTTTTATCGCCGTTTCATCCTTCTCCAGTGGAGTGTTTTCACATCAGAGCTCACACACTGCCTCGGTGTCAGTCACCTCACACCCACAGGGGGAAACGAAGACTCTGCCTGGAAATAATTCCTCAAAAACAGATCAGCTTACAAACATCATTGTTCCACTGATGTCTTCCTGATTCACAGTCTTTGCACTGTCAGCAGTTCATTTCATGCCAGATCTGACAAGAGGGTGTTTCAGAAACAGTGGAAAACAAGTGCAAGCTGTGTGCAGACAGTAGCGATCATTGTTACTGTTACCTCCTTTATTTAGCAGATTCTGTGTCGCCCCTGCATGTCATTATAAACCGTGTGTTTTCTGGTTCTTCAGGTACTGCTCTGGTGGTGCAGTGGGATCACGTCCACCTGCAGGACAACTACAACCTGGGAAGCTTCACCTTCCAGGCCACGTTGCACAACACCGGCAGGATTGTGTTTGCATACAAGGAGGTGAGGGCTCCATTATTCAACCGTTTTTCTTTACTTGTAAAGAAAACAGTTTCTCCTGTTTTGTCCACAGTCTGTCTTTTACCACGATCCTGCGTTTCTTACTTCGTCTGTGTCCGTCTCTCTTTCGGACACCGTTTATTATTCTGGATGGCTGAATAACGTTTTTATTATCGTTCACGCTCCACCGGCTTCCTGTGAGTCAAAGAATTTACTTTCTGTTGGTTTTTATAAAACACCGAATGGTTTCGGTCACTGTTTCCAGAGTCAGAACGAAACACGGAAAAGCAGAATTGGGTTTTTATGCACCACATGTTTAGAACAAACTCCCACACACTTTTAAATCAGACTTTCCAAGTTCATTTTATACGTTCAATGTGGGTCTATTTAGTCATATCATACACTGCAATGTAACAGCACTGACCTCATTTTTTGTTTTTATTCTCCTCATTAATCTGTTTTATTCAGTTTAAGCACATTTTTTATCCTATATTTAATTTTCTTCCTTCCAAAACCTATTTATTATTGCCTTTTTATACTGCCTTGTGTATATGTTTTGTCTTTATGTCCTGTGAGGTCTGTCTTTCCTTAGATTTTCACCGTCTACCACCGGAGAAAAAAAGAGTAAATGTCGTTTCAAAGAGTCTGTCTTTCCTTTTTCAAGCCTTCTGAGACACAGTTAGGCAGCGTGACCTCATCAAAATTGCATCAACTATTCCAATTTTTGATCTGAAGGAGCCATTTCATGTCCTATCGACACACTTAAATCATCTCAGTATGAACAGTACAAAAGAAAATGTGACTCACTTCACACACCCAAATCACACAGTCTGTTTCCCTGCTGTTTCTAACTTTCTACACTTCTTAAAGTGTATTTGTCATTTACTCCTGCCCCTTTCTTTTTAGCGAAAAGAAAAAAACATCCCACGTTTTTACTGTCAACGTTACACAGGAGAGTGACGCCAGCATCTCTGACAATGTGTTTCACAGCAGCTTGATTTGGCTGTAAAGTAATTTCGAATAGTGTTTTGGGTCACTGCATGTCCCAGAGGTGTGTGTTAATATTTAAATATCCAAAATGTATTGAAAAACAACTTTACTGAACAGGGAGCTGGAGAAGGTAATGAAAGTTATTATCCAACAGAGACTGCTGGGGGAGTGTGAAATTGCAATAAGTAAGTAATGATGTATGATAATGGCGGTGGTTATAACAGCAGGGCTGCTCCTCTCATGACCCGGGCCCTTTATGTAATTTGTTATTTTCACGTGTTTTAAGAGCTGATCTGAAAGCTGCTGGGTTTTTTCTTCTTCTGCTAAGCGTTTCATTATGCTGCTATTATTTGTCTAAAAAGACCAACCTGACCAATAGACTTAGAGTTTTGCATAACCTTGATGATTACAAGGTTTGTTCAGTTGTCTGGTTTAATTCTTTTCTAGCACCGGTGTGTAAAATCACAACACCAGATTCAAAAAATGCTTCGACTTAAATGGACCGTAAATGTCAGGGCTTCTGTTTTCGCACAGATAAGTCTGTCTTCACAAAGCTGTTGCTCCGTTCTGTCCCATCTGTGTCCGAAATGTTTATCGTCGGCTCCAGAGATAGCCATATGCCTGCTGAAGTTGCATATTGCCTCATCAGATTCCTACGTCAGCGTTGTCAGACTGATGTGTAGTTTCCGGCCTCTCCCAGACAGATCTTCATGGTCCTGGTAATTGAGTCCCTTTTTCTATTTCAGATCCCCATTGAGGTGGCACAGATCAGCTCCGTCAATCACCCGGTGAAGGTGGGCCTGTCTGATGCCTTTGTGGTCGTCCACAAGATCCAGCAGATTCCCAGTGAGTCTCCAACACACATCCGGTTTAAATTTCCCATTTTGTACTCACAAAGAAAACCTGAAATAATCGACATGGCAACTGTGCGCACATTAACATGGGGCTTTGGAGAGTTTTTATGGTGGGTTCTTCATTTTAAGGCTTTTGAACATCGTAGCACAATTTCGATAACCTGATGACGTGCCTGCATCTGGGAAGCCAAGGTGTTACAATTTCAGAGTTCAGGGCGATAGTAGCAGTTCTGTGTTCTTCTTTATTTGGTTTGTACAACTCAAAGCCATGCTGCAGCAAGGTGCAGTATGAGAAAAATACTGAGGTTTTTTTTTTAAACATTTAAGCATGCAAACATTAGTAGATTCAAAAAGTACAATTCTAAACCTGTTATGTGTGTGATATGGGCTCTTTAATAATCCCGGAAAATGCTTTTAAACAGTTGTTCAAAGTATGTGAAGATGTAAAAGTATACAAGTATACAACAAATACAAGAATGCAAAAAAGTGCTGGGGCACTCCAATGGAAGATCCTCTCCCATAGTTCTTGTTTAAAATCCAGTCAGCTGGGAAGAGTTTGCTAATAAAGTCAGCTAGCAACAGTTGTCATTATAGCAAATTAAATAGGTTCTATTTGGTAATTTGCAACTATAATTAAGGGGGGTGGAGCTTAGTAAAGGTTCAAATTTCAGGCAATCCAGTTAGTTTCTTGAAGTACAAATAAGTCCAAGGATGATTGTATTAAAAAGTCAGTCATGGGATTTTTTTTTTGTATCCTTAAAACATGATAGCTCCGATTTCAGTCCCGTCTGTTTTGCTTTAGCTCCGACTGTCACCACCTCTTGTCCAACAGCGTCCCACCTCTGTCAGAGGGCAGTGGGCACAGCTCCAGATTTGCTTCTCTCATTTGCTTTTGAGTTACTGCAATTTAGGCCCATTAAATTTAAAGCAAATGCAAGCAAAGCGGAGGCACTTCAAACCTTCTTACCCACACTCAGACTCTCTGTAGCTCTCATGGGCTCTGATTCAAAGTCTGCCGCAATAATGAGTTGTCAAACGTGATTTATTCAGTAATTTAAACTCTGTTTTGATTACGTGTGTGTAACTTGGATAGTCTTTATTTGTCAAAGTTAATATTTCAGGGTCTTTTTCGTACTTCGCTCGGCGTCGTTATTTTCTATGCAGTATGCAGTGATAATGATTGGTTTGTAAGTTTGGTCAGAGAAGAACACATCTCAGAAACGTCAGCCCCTCGGCGTGGTCGGAGTTTCTGACTTGGACTTTGCTTTGTGTTTTATCTAAAGGCCTTCTATATGAAATCTCTTTCCAGAAGGCTGAGAAATCTGAATATCGAACCTGTTCGTGCGGTCCTCCCAGACTTCATAAACCGAGCTGTCTTTGATGCCTCTGACACAGCATGATGAAACCAGTGTGTGCAGCTGCTCGGTTGCAGAGTGATGAAATCTTGAATGGAAGCAGATTGAGACAGAGGTGTCGTGTTGAACATGAATGATGTCTCTGAGGAGCGCGTGTTGTCGTCTTTATGGCAGACGCTTCTCTGCTGTGATATTCCATCTGATTCTGACGCTGCCTGTAAAGAAAGCAGAATGCTAAATATGCCCGGAACTGTTTTTAGGGAGAGATCAAACGACTGAAACCAAAACTCTTAAGATGCAAAACAGCTACAATACTGTAATGCGTGCCTTGTCCTTGTTTATAAATCACATTAAACCAAGTAAAGCAGTTTGTTTCTACATGGCATAACCTTTATTTTCAACAGAGGTAGACAAACGTTCCTACCAAACAGCTGAAGCAGCAACAATACAACCTTGCGGGTTTAATCAGCTTTACTTTGCTAATTAATTGCTCATACTAATGGTGTTGTGATATTCTGGTGTTGACAGTAATTGTGATACTGAAAACATGGAATATAGATATCATCGTAACAATACACATATGATAATAAATAATCCAGCGACAGTAACTGTGTGGTTAACATTCCACCATCCAGCTTAGGAACAACATACAGTACAGTCGTGGTCACAGACTCTCTGTCCAACTCTGTATAGTTCATTTAAATAAACAAAGTTGAATTTGACTAATAGCATTTTTTTTTCCATTTTTTTACTTGTGGGAGTTCTTGTGCAATTTGAGGGCAGCCCAAACCTTTATGCATGTTCCCACCTTAGAACCTTTTGCACCTCTAGACCTTTTTTTTTTAGGGCCACTTTCGGAATAGAAAAAAGTAGGTACTGCGAGGTGGGTACTCCTGACCAATACTGTGGGTACTCAAGCAGGTTTCGAAGCTGATTGGTTAAACTCAAAGAAAACAACAATTGGTATATTTCCTGCCCTCTAAGTCCTTGTCTAGTAGCAGTCACACACAACTCAAACCTCCATTGTATTATTTCTTTCATGTTCATAGAGTTAAGTTCAGTAACTACTATTTGTTAGCGTTGCAGTTGAAGCTGTAGGATCCTACATCGCAATGGACTTGGAAAGGTTGAACAAGTTGAGTAGGGGACAGTTCTTCTAAAAGTTAGCGCCACCTCCCATCTACTCTCAGTTCCTGCAGTGAAAAGGCAACCTATTGTTGTTAATTCTTTGGGTCGCAATCAAAGTCTGATTGTGCCCTGGGGCAATTCGTTTTAAGACAAGAATCCCGTAAATGGGTTGTAGAAATATACACAATAGCTACACATGCAAAATTGAACACTGAGCCTAAAGCCACAACATTGTCTTAGATAGCGTCCCCCAAACATAGTAAAGAGCAGGACAGAGCTGCTACTCTGATAGGTTCCTATGCTTGTGAGCCAGACATGCTATTGGTTGCAGCCTACTGTAAAGCAGATAAACAAATTCACATCAGTTCCTTGCATGCTTCCTGTTCTGCTTTAGATTTTGAAAACGCAAACAAAAATACACTTTAGCTTTCGTGCTCTACTAAAAATCGGAAGTCGCTGTTGGGATGAGGGCTTCAGCAATCAAAATGACATCAAACTCTTGCGTTAGCTGAAACAAACAAGGCTGTGTTTTCTCGATCTGCAACGAACAGATGATATTTGCACAGTCCACCGGTTCATGCTCGCGTCTGGAGGTAAAGGGCAGTATTTGCATCCTGCACCTGTCAGTCCAAAGGGCCTGACGTGTCCTCACGAGCTGTACAGGAAGACATCTTATGGAGAAAGCAAAGGATGCTGCACGAACGATCCGAGGTCCTCCTTAATGATAGAAAAGGGCCCTTTAATGGGGGAGAATTCACAGATGGGTAGGAACTAACCTTTAGAAAAAGACAGCATCAGCAGTTTTCAGGAACAAAGCGGAATGCCACAGCAGCTCGTTCCTCCATATGGTTACAGTTAATGTGCCACCTCATGCTCCCCTTTGTTCCTAAATATACAGAAGAAATCGGATGAGAAACTTGCTGCTGAGAGGACAGTGAAAATAAAAGTCCTGTCGTGTATCTGATCTACTCCAGGTCTCGTTCAATGGGGGATCATCTTAAGGAGAAGAAAATATTTTGACAGATGTTTCGCAACCCTGTCGTGCCACATTAATAAACACGTTCTAGTTGTTGCTCGCTTAAGTACATTAAACCATAATCCTGACATGAGAACAGTTGACAGGGAAACCAGCACCGCTACAGGCTGTGCCACCAAGAAGCGTTTCAACTCTGCTAAATGTCTCGGCAGCCAATTACTGCAATAGCAACCATGGCAACCAGAGGGACATTTTTTTTAACTCGCCGGAGCTTTGCTTCAGTTTAAAAGCTCAAATAAAACATTTTACACTGCCTCCAGGCACATCAGGCCAAAGCCCATCAAGTTAAGGCAGAGATGAGAGAGAAGATTTGTGGGTGTCCTGTGGCCAGGCTTTATAATTAACAGGTCTGGTAGAAGCACATGTGACGACCCAGGCTTTAATGTACTTCCCTAGTACCAGACTATACATTACCAGTCACAGCGAGTCATTTTAAAATGAACCCGAAGCCACCTTCACGCTTTTCCTGCCTTTTTGCCTCCATCCGGATTACTAATCTTGATTCGCAGCAGATTGATGCCAAGATTGGAGCTGTTAATTATCAACAGTATACGGTTGTTAGTAATTAATGCTCAGTAATAATTGATCTAATTCTGCTAATAAGAGAAGAGACATTCAGGAAGACACATTGTAGTTAAATATAGAGAATTTAATCAGAAGGTTAAAGAAGTCAGTGTTGTAAGATGAGAGCATGCTGCTGTTATTTCGCCGTTTTTTATTTCGATGTCGTGACATCACATTTCTATCTGCTTTTAATGAATTAATAATAAGCAGCTGCCCGTTATTTTGGTTTTATCAAAGAAAAAGTGTGTGCAACTGTGTTTTTTTTACATTATATTTTAAGAATTAAGAGTGAAGCTTTTTACTACGTTTGAAAATGGGTTAACTGACCTTCTTATAGTAATTGTATGATGCACTTGTGCAAATCTGCCTTCACTAAGTGCCCATTCTTATGAAGTGGCTGAGAGCAGACTATAATTGATCTGATTCGCAGCTTCTTTCCGCCTACCAGTGGTCGGCAAGACGGTACAGTCTGCCCACACATCAGCCGCCTCGGGCTGGAGATCTGACCTTCCTCTGGCCCCCACCGTGTCATTAGGCACCTGATAATCCCTTCGCTAGAGGCAAGAGGAAGTCAGTCACCAGGGGAGCAGAGGAGGGAAAGGAAGGGTGGTCTCATTCTCAGGTTGAGCCGAGCTGGCTCCCATTTGTTGCTTTGATCAGTCGTCCTTTGTGTAATCAAACCAAGCAGGTCTGCGGGGAAACAACGTCCTATCACATGAGGAGAACAACACGGTAGCCGGCGCGGTCAACATTTCCCAGACCGAAAATCAATCAAGCAAGTCTAAAAAGGAACGTCGTACTGAGAGGCTGTTATAATTTTTTTCTAGTAGAGAGCAACGGTGTAAAAGTTAAAGGAGCTTTATGGAGCTGTGGCGGCAGCAAAGTCATCAAAGTGACTTAATCCAAAGGGGCACATAGGAGAGGAGGATTTCTGATGTAATAAAAATCTGGAGTGGATTTATCTGTGTACTGAGGCATCACTGGTCCCTGTGTTTATTTATTTGCACTATTTTTGTTCTAGTTTATATTCCGCCTAGTTTCTTTTCATACTCTGTTTTCTGTCCTTTCTGTTGCAGCTCCAGCATACAGTTTGATAAACGCTGTACTAATGTTGTGTTGATGTTATAGAAATGCAAAAATTGATCTTAAACGGTTATTACATAATAACATAAGAGGATCTATACCAGTCATATCTGTAACATGAATATAAAGCAACACTGTTAGTTCAGCTTAGCAAAAGTCACATTTTTCATTTGCTTTTATGCACTTTGTTTTTATATGTAAATTAGTGAGCTTTAGAGGTGCTGCTAGGCAGATGTTGTGACCTTCAGACCGAGCTATTCTAGCCGTTTGACCCTGCTTCCAGTCTTTATGCAAAGCTAAACTTTACATATATGGACAGAGCGGAATGAGAGTATTATCGATCTTCTGTTAAGGGCATATTTCCCAGCATGTCAAAATGCTGCTTTAACCTTAAAACAGGTTTACCGATTGGAAATATTACATGATGACTTGCTTGCTGCATACATTACACAGCCGTAGATGAGTGTATTGAATTTCAATTTTGTAGCTCAAGCAAATACAAGTGAGCAATGTCGCTATGCATGTTCCAGTGAATCTTACTGATGCATTCTGCAGGGTTGCCGTTTCATGATGGAGCGCCCTCATAGAAAGGCGCAAAAAAAAAATCCCATTAGGGTTTAAATAATCGACTTATTAGCAGCAACGAGGCGTTGTTATCAGATCTGTTAAGATATTTAGAGTTATTCATTGAATTATTTTCAAATAATGTATTTCATCCTGGTTTTTTTTTTTTCCTCCCATTTCCACTGATGGCTGTAAAGATGCATGGCCAGCATAAGCAAGCAGCCCATTTTACACTTGTCCCTATGAGTTATAAGGGCCAGAATGCAATGAGAGTCAATGATGTATCTAATCAATCGCTCCATCTTAGCCCGGCTGATGACTTGCTGTTACAGATGACTGGGAAGGCAGCTTTTCAACGGGGTCTGATTGATATCGGGTCCCAGGGGAAATTGCCGCCGTCCATTGCCAAGTCGTGGTCTGACACTTTGGGCACAAAGAGAACAGAGAAATAAAGTGCTGTGGTAGCATCCCATATGACCTGATTCTGCCTCCCGCTCTCTTCCCTCCTTCTTCGGGGACCACTTGTCCCAATTTTTATCTCAGGGTGCAAGATTTGTGATGGTGTCTTCGCTCTTCTCACTCTGTATGCCTCTTCTATATTTTCCCTCCAAAATATAGATGTGAGGCGGAGGACAATCTACGAGTATCACCGCGTGGAGCTGACGAAGACGAAGATCACCAATTCTACGGCTGTGGAAATGATGCCTTTGCCAAGTAAGAAGAATTTATTGCAACAGCTTTTGGCTCAGTCAGTTCAAGCTTCTGAATGGATGCCTTATCAATATATGGCATGTAGACCTTTTCCTTGGCTGGGTGTCTAATAGGCTATTGATTGTGTAAATTGTCTGACCTGTTTTGACCTTTCTCCTCTGCAGCCTGTCTCCAGTTCACCAGCTGTAGCGCCTGCATCTCCTCGCAGATCAACTTCAACTGTAGCTGGTGTCATCGACTCAACAGGTTGGACTTAAACACACCTTTGCTCCCAAAAACGCTGTCTTTAATTTTCCTTTACACCTCCCCTCTCTGGATTTTCTCACACCCATTAGCTCCTATTTGTACTGAGGTGCACACATTTTGTGGATGGAGAGACTTCATGCTTTTATTTCAGACTGTTTTAGATTCTTTTTTTTACTCCTTCCAGCAAAAATATCCCAGCAAATGAACGGAAGTGCAGCTTCTAATCTTTACGTCTTCAAATCTTTTCACACTGACTACCAAATTCAGAATTCAGTTCAAGATTCTTGTGATCTCATTCAGAGCCCTGTGTGGTCAGAGGCCTTCCTACATTAGAGATGCACTGCAACTTTTTGTCTCATGTTGATCTTTAGATCAGGATTTGTTGGGTTTTTTTTCACATTTCAGACTCAAAACTAAAGGAGATGGTGTCTTTAACTGTATGTGTAGTGGTTCCTAAACAAAAACTCTACAGTGGATATAGTTCATGACCTTCAAGAAGTGTTTTGTATTTCTTAAACCTCCATCCCAGCGATGTCTATGCCCAGAGGCACTATGTGTCCAGGTTGTCCATTTGTCTCATTCTTGTGATATATCAGGAACACCTTGGTGGTCAAAGACAGTCACATGAGGTCACATAACTCAAGAATTCATGTGCTAATTATGACAACATTTCACTAAAATGTCTAGTAGGTTAAAACAAAGTGATGACATTTTGTATCCCAAAGTTTAAAGGTCAGCTTCACTATTATATCATAATGCTGCGCAAAAATACTTCTTTGTCCATTATTCAAGACATTTATTACTGAGGAATAAAAGGAGAGATTGTGAACATACTTAACAACTGGTTTGGATGCTGAATTGGCACTAATCTCGGGTGTCTACCTTGAAACTGCACTGATTGTATAGATCTACTACATCCATAGTCTGTAGATAAAAATGTATATTTCTCAATAGAATTGATCCACTGGAATCCTGTATATGTAGCTGTGACTCCAGTTAGCTAAAACATGAACTGCATGCTGCAAAGTCTTCTCTACATGCCCTAATCTGTCACCACATTAAAACCACTGACAGGTGAACTGAATAACATTGATTATCTCATTACAATGGCAGCTGTCAAGGGCTGAGATGTATTAGATAGCAAGTGAAGAGTCAGTTCTTGAAGTTGATGTATTAGAAGCCAGAAACATGGCAACATGAGGATCTGAGTGACTTTGACAAGGAGCGAATTGTGACGACGAGGCTAGGTCAGAGCATCTGTAAAACAGCAGGTGTTGTAGGATGTTCCCAGCGTGCAGCAGGCCGTGCCTTCCAAAACAATTTAAAGAAGGACAGCTGGTGAACAGGAGTCAGGGTCTTGGACGTCCAAGGCTCACTGCATGAGGGACGAAGGTGGTCCAGTCCCACAGAAGAGCTACTGTAACACAGACTGAAAACTCTAATGAAAGCTATAGAAAGGTGTCAGAACACATGGTGCATCACTTCTTGCTCCATATGAAGCTGTGCAGCTGCAGACTGGACAAAGTGCCCTTGTTGATCTCCGTCTGCAGTGAAAAGCACCTACAATGGGTGCATGAACATCAGAAGGTGACCATGAAGCAATAGAAGAAGTTGGCCTGGTCTGATGAGCCGTGATTTCTTTTGTGTATACATCATTTATCTGGGGAAAAGATATCAGCAGCTATGAGAAGAAGGCAAGCTGGCGGAGACTGTGTGATACTCTGGGAGTGTTCAGCTGGGAAACCGCAAGTCCTGGCAATCATGAGGATGTTACTTTGACACGTACAACCTACCAAAGCTGTTTGCAGACCACATACTGTCCTTCATGGCAACAGTTTTCCCTGATGGGCTCTTTCAGGAGGGTGATGCTCACTGCTACACTACAAACATTGTTCAGGAGTTGTTTGAGGAAAAACCCAAAGAGTTCAAAGTGTTGACTTGGCCTCAAAATTTCCCAGATCTCAATCTAATCAAGCACATTTAAGATGTACTAAAAACAAGTCAAATCCATGGAGGCTCCACCTCACAGCTTACAAGACTTGAAGGATCTGCTGTTGACGTCTTGGTGCCTGAAACCACAGAACACCTTAGAGGTCTGTGGAGTCCAGGCCTCCATGGGAAAAAAGTGGGACCAACACAATATTAGACCAGTGTTTTTTTTTTAAATGTTTTGGCTCATAAGGAGACACACAAACACAAGGCAAGATTTGTAGTTTATATCATTTTTATTTTATTCATTATTCCTTGGTATCTTTTCAGTGTCGTTTGTCTGAGAGCTGGATTATGCAAAATCTGCCTGGTTGAATTTCATGAGACACGGTGGCCAAGACGGAAGAACCCATTAAACGCTGGCACCGCTCCGGATAATTTTCTTAATCATAAAAATTGCGAGATAGGGCATTGACCTTGGCAGAGGATGCGCTCTCTGAGTGCCCTTCTAGTTTTATACTGTGTCTCTATTTGGCTCGTCTTTCTTTCTTCTTTTTTTTTTTTTTTTTACTGTGAAGCCCTTTGTGACATCTGATCTTTAAAGATGCTGCCACAAAGTGTTCCTAAAGCAAATGAAGCTATTTTTGTGCCCAGACCCAACAACACATCGCAAAACACATGTATTTTTCATCAGCAGGTTAAATTAAGGCATCAAATCAGATGATGTGTTGGTCTAGAGGGCAGATGAATTGGTAAAATATTCTCAAAACACATCAGTTACCTTGTAATGGTTCAATATCTGGTCATGGTTTTATGTATAGTGCATATTGTATGATTTTTGGAGGTAAAATTAGGTTTTAATTTCATCTTTTACCATCACAGTAGGGCTCTATATTCTATACATTATAGCTGCACCATTTAGACGACACAGCGTGTTATTCTGACGCTCATTCAACTCACACCTGTTCTGTCAACCTCTGCTCCACTTTTTTATCTCACCCTTCCTGTCTCCCCGCACTTCAAACAAAAGTAAATATTTGAGCTGCTAAAGAAGTGTTAGCGTTCCTCCCCAGAATTTCCTGACAGCTGAAATGTGAGCTGCGGTGGGTTTTGTTTAGTCGGATAGAAAAGTTAAAACGACGGAGAGAGAGAGAGAAGAAAAAAACAAATAATGGAGTTATCATCGGTGTGAGTTCAGAAAGTTTCAACTTGCATGTCAATAGATGTTTACTGTCCTGATAAATGCCTTCCTTGAATTTGCTGAAATTGTTATTTGGAGGTTGTTGTCAGCGTTTGTTAGTCAGACCCCTGGAGCCACCTTCACTTCTCTTTGGTATGCCGCTGCATTTTAAATGCCATATGCATCAAATATTAATTCGCCACTCTTTTATTTTGTACTCATCATTTATTCTGAGAAATGTGTTTGACTGGAGAACTGTGCAGCACTTCTGCTCTGTCTGCTGAGATTTGTTATTTAGGACTTACAAGGGGTTTTACATTTGACTTTGTCTCTGCTTGGCATCTTAAATTTCCTTGCCTTTGACAGAGAAAAACTAATTTACAGTTCAGCGACATGAAAAAGTGTTGTGGAGAGATACTGTACGCCTGTGGCACTGATCTCATTAGGCTGTATTTTAATTAGCTTTCCGACTGTGTTAATATCTGACTGTTCAGCCTCGCTCTGCCCTCGGTATCTTTCAGCCGCGTCCTTTTGAAAAAGGCAAACATGCTTTAAACACGCGCTAATTAAAAACCACGCTGGCTCCGGGGGTTAATGAAAGGCACTGACATTTTAAGAGAACAACCCTAATGAACTTCTCCCACAGTGAAATATGGGGAAGGTGAGAAGAGCAGAGCGCCTCTTTCATGCTAAGTCACAAGTTGAATCACTTTGCGGTGGCTGATGTGTGAGTCCGCTACTGAAACAGGTTAAGAAAGCGTGACACACACACTGCAGTGGACCGTAAGTGCCAGAGCATCTGAATGTTAATGTGAATGGACCAAGTGCAGGGATTTGTTTGCCTAAAAAAACACAGCTGGTAAGCATCGCAAATGGTTGTTGGAGAGGCGAACACTGAATTTTAATTTGTCTCGCTCTCACAACAACATGTTGTTGGCTAGTTTTTAGAGAAGAAGTGGCACACAGGCAGCAGTTTGTTTTGAGTTTGTTACGAGCCAAAGTTCTGCCTTGCATAATAAAAGTGTTTGTTTAGCAGAATGTGCTGAAGTAACAAGAGTAGTAATATGTTAGATATTTGTAATATCTGATGAATTAGCAGCATATTTGTTGTGGCTGGTCAGAGTTTAGGGAGTTAATTCCTCACAGCTTCAGTCTTATGATGATATTTGTTTCTATAAGTGTTTTCTAAAAACCAGAGTTCAGTCGTTGCTTCGGGCACCATAAGTTAAAGGGGCTCTAAAATGCAGGAAGAATCTGTTAGTGACATCCAACGTGGACCTTATATTGTTAAAATAATCCTGCTCGCTCCACACTAAGCAGCAGATCCTGAGAGGGAACTACAGACAGACTGTAGAAAGACAATCTGCTGGCGGCTGACTGTCACATAACCTGCTGGCTGCTTTAACCACACGACTCAAACTCCTGTAAGAATATGACAAGACCGACATTATTACTTATGCTCTATGCAAACTTTAGATTGTGATCCACACTGCGATGATGCTGTACGTCTCCTCAGCTTGAATCAAAGGTAGTGAATCGGTTAGTTTAGCAAAAGAAAACATCATGATAAACAATCATCTGTACCCTGAAGTTATTATCCAGGTATTTCCATTTTGTTATGCTATCAACCATAGATCCAGATGTTGCTGACAGCTGTAAGAATTGTCTCATTCGGCTTCTTAAACCACCAAAAGCTCTGTGAGCGAGTGACCTGCTGAGCACGAAATATTTAAAAACAGTGGTTAGTTTGGTTTCAGTCAGCAGCAGGGAGCGCCATATTGAAAACGGCAGTATTTTATTCAGATTCTGTCCAGACCGCTAAAGATTTCAGAAAGAAACATAGCATGTTATATTTTCTGTATGCTGAGCGCTTCGGCTGTAAAACAAATATAAATTTCATTCGTAATGTTGCCTGAAGTGTGCTCTGTAGGTTGTACAGTGAAGGATAAAAGACATTTAGAAAAACACTGGATCATAAAACATGATCGGTAGCCATTAGTGAAAGTCTCATATTAACAACAGCTGCTCCTCTTTAGAGAAACTGTCTGTAGTGTGGAGGCATCAAAGATACTCCCACACAGATAGACCTGTATAATGTCATACAGGGATATGAATAATCAGGTTGTATTGTGGATTATGCCCTGAGCAGAAGTAACAACAGCTCTAATACATAATAGGAACTAGTGAGCTTGTAAAGACAAATATTGACAAATCATGTGGATGACCTGATACAGAACAGACACTGAGTGAAGCCAAATAAAGATAATGAAGTGCAGAAAAGCCGTTTTGCCACCTGTTTTTAATTCAAATCAACTTAATTAATCAATAACTGTTCCAGTAATTACTCCCTGCATGTTGAAACAAAGAATAAGGCAGGTTCTGCCTCAAGCAAAAAGAGTTGGTTTGTTTGAAAACTGTTACTCTACTACTTAAGCAAATAATTTTCACTTAAAATATGAGAATATAACCTCAAGGGATCAATTACAGACAACACATGTTTGAAAACAGGGAGATTTGGTTGATTTGTGTTTCATTTAACCGAGCAGTTAATTTGTCAGAGAAGCCGGTGGATCTGTTTACAGTGCAGCCAAACAAACTCACATTGGTTTAATAAAGGAAATGAGTCCATCTGCGATGTGATTTCATGCTGCACACGGCCGCATAACAGCAGGACGCAGGAAAGTTGGGAGTACAGCTCAGATATGGCTGCAGGCGAGCGAACAATAAACAGTGAAGCTGATCAATAAGATAAAATTCCCCTGGCTTAAACACACACACATGCCTTGCTTTTCTGTGAATCTGAATGTACTGTAACGATGGAAAACTACTATATAGAGAGATACATGCAGAATAAATACAATGAAAGGGTTTTTCTAAAAGAAAATCGCGATGATAAACAGTCTGGAAAGGGTTTGATTTAATGGAAATCTTAAGGATTATGACTACATTTCTTGAGTAAATGCACCAGATTACTTTCCACCATGCAAAGAATGCCTACAAATCTTCCATGAATGAGTGGGAATGAAGCCGAATAATACAATCTATCCATCCTGCTGTGACTGTTGAAATGCTGAAGAGAAATATTCTCCCTCATGGGTTCATTTATATTCAAATGAAGCACCTCGGCCCATTTCTAATTAAAAGCACTGTGGCTCACTGCGCTAGATGGCAACTAGCTGAGATGGATGCCATTGAGAAGAAACAAAACACGAGCTCCCTACAGAGACAGGTTAGTCCGGACCTGCTCGGTAATATTGCGTCTCATTCTGCTTCCTTCGCTGCCCTCTCGGGAGGGGAAAGCAGTCGGGGAAAAATGGGGGATTAAGCCGAGGAATCTGTCTCGCCTGATTGAACAGATGGACTGAATTTTTTTGGAAGAGGAGGGGGTGAAGGGAATGGGATGATTAGAGAGGTAGAAAGATGAAAATGGACTCCTTCACATAAAGCCATTACCATAACAATATGTTCAGGAGAGAAATGGGGCCTGCTGGGGAAGACACTACTGGACGCTCATTGTCTTGGAAGCACAAAGCGCAGACATCACTGCTGCGTTCCCTCGTAGTCGATCATAGTTTTTTTGTTTGTGTGCATTTTCCTGTAGATAACAGTGTGATCTACACTTTTCCTTTCATGCAGGAAGTGTGTGTAGAAACACAGATGAGTTAGCAGGGGAAGAGTTATAATTTTGATCCATTTAGCAGCGAGGATTAGTAGCTGCCGCCTCGATTACCGTCTGCCGTTTGAGGTTATTATAAGTCCTGGACCCTGATACACAGTTGACTCAGCAGCAACCTCATCCGAAGGCCCCATGACCCCCTGAACTTCCCCCCCTGGCAGATCCAACATTTTCATACTGTACAAAGCCGCTCCTTGCTTAAGCTCCTTGAATCCAGACCTCAGAGGGTGGCAGCGAGTGGGAGGTGCACATGTTTGCTTCCCAGCTTGATTCAGAGGAGAAAAAACTTGGAGTAACACTGAGTGAAGTTCAAATTACAGCACAAATCTGCTAAAGGGCCAGTTTGCACAAATCAACATCAGTGTACTCATCACGATAAGGATTGAGTCACTGTATAATATCCTTTGTTTAAATCTACACCGGTATGCTACATACTGGTGTCCTATTTGTTATAACGCCTACTGTTTAATGCGATGATAGCATCCTCGCTCTGATTCCTGCCAAGGACATTTGTTGCATGTCATTCCTGAAGGCCTATTGCCCAGAAGCTGCTTTAGAAATAGTAGCCCAGCTTTATAAATAAATTATAAATGAGTTATGAGGAGATTGAAAAACTTGAGGCAAGCACAGTCTAACCAAAAGAAGATATCTGCCGTATCAGACCCACATTATGGATTAAAGTCAGACCTCTTCTGCTTTAGTTTTGACCCATAGTAAACATGCTCGTGGCTGTAGACGTAAAAATGTTGCACCAGTTTTGTCCTGATTGAAGTATTCCAACAACTAGAGCTACAGCAGGTAGCAGATTGATTCACTGATTCATTGTGCGATGGACAGAAAGTTACTCTGCTGCAATTTGGATAATTGAAGTCAGTTCGTTGTTCCCGTCTTTTCAAGGTTTGCTGCTTTTTTCTTTATAAACCCCCTGAACTCCAAAACTGGCCACTGTGTTTGAAAGTGTGTTATCTTTAAAGAAAAGAATGCCACAATAACCCCATGTATCAGAGAACTGTACAAACAAAAAGATTTGTTGGATTTTCAACTCTCTAGAGTTCCCTGAGTACATTGTCCCTTTCTGTCTGAAAAAACGTACCAAATCTGAGCTTAAAAATCTGTATATTTCATCAAAATCACTGTATTCTTCATGTTTCATTTAAAAATTCACGAATAGTAATCTGATTTCTCTAATAAGATTCTGTTAAAAACTAAAAATTCTGCGCTCCAGGGCACAACTGTAAAGCCATAAGTCATATGACCGGGACCGACAGTCGTGTGACAGAAATTTAGAGAGTTTACACAGAGCAGCTGGGAGATAAATATGGAAATTAATGTAAAACACAAGCAGTAAAATATCTATAGTTTGCTGAGTCAGCTTTTTTTTTTCTCTTGTGAACACTTGTACAATTTTTGTACATGCTGATTCTTTTTTTTTTTTTTTTTAATTGTTGTAATATAAATAAAGATTTTTTTAAATGATTTATGGCATCATAGCTTTGTTAGTCTGCACAAAAGACATGTTTGAGTTCTCTCTCCCTTTGGTCCTGGTTGTGCTGTTTTCATAGAGGTGCAGGACTTTATACTGCAGTGAGAAATGAGTCCACAGTGAATAAAAATGTCAATTCGTGAGTTTTGGGAGGTTTTACTGTTGGTCAGACAAAACAAGACATTTGAAGGTGTCACCTGGGGATGTACAGACAAACAATGAAACTAAAAAATACACCTGATGCTTTCACTGACACTGACATCTATCATTTGTTGCAGCTCTATCATCAGCTGATAGATGTGGTGACGTGACATTTTGCACAGACATTCATGATCAATCCTTATTACTTTGGTGGTCCTTTGACTTTTCCTCTAGCGCCACCATGAGGTTGACATTTTTGTTAGGAAGTGAAAACATTGGATGGAAGGATTGCCATGTAATTTGATGCAGACATCCCTGTTAGTCTCTGAACTGTAGTATCTTTGGTGATTGCTTAACTTTTCCTCGTGTCTCACAGATGATAATCACAGCCGAAGACAGTAATCTGAAGCCACTTTATTTGACTTGTGATTGCAGTGTTGACTAACAGTTGTTTCCTCTGCTCTCAGATGTTCCAGTGGCTTCGACCGCCATCGCCAAGACTGGGTGGACAACAGCTGCCCGGATGAGGTGAGACTTCAAGCTGCTGTGTCTTGATCATGTCCATAAGGTCATTAGATGTTCTGCTTGTTAATGGTGAAATAAACGTGTTTGTTTGTGTAGCTGCCCAGATGATGAATGTTCTCCTGCGACCCTCTTACATCCACACATGCACCTTCTCCCCACAGTTCAGGCTGCACACACAAGCATGACATGAAATATCTCATCTTTCAGACCAAGGACAAGATGTGTGACATCGTCGACACCACGTACCTCTACCCCTTCACCACCACGATTGTTGCCAAGACGACATCCAGGGGCAAAGAGGCCACTGCAGGCAAGGAGACGCCCTCCACCTCCCACCCTCCCACCAGCGTCCCCACAGAAGGTAATGAACAAAACAAAACTGGATCAAGGCCACGGCGCACGTTGTGTTGGAGCCCAGAGCTTTGTTTCAAAAAGTGATGGATGCTCCGGGCTGGCAAGACGTTAAATGAAGTGCATTTACTGGAACTGTTCTTTATTAGTATCGATGTGTTTCGTCTTTGACAACATGCGCAAGACACCTCTTCCATTTGAAGAATGCATAAATATGTGCTGTGGCTCTCCGCTTAAGCTGAAAAAAATTAATTCCAGATGGCAGCCAGTGGAGCAAAGCGCAGCAGCTGTGTTTGTACCAACTTTTAAACAATGCAGATTGAATTGGGACGAATCTCGCCAGTCCCCACATAGATGCAGCCACACAAACCTGTGATCAGCTCACTGATCCCTCATCTGTCTTTTATTCCCGAGAACGTCCTTATCCGATGACGGATCTGTTAACGTTTTCTCACATGCTTGTTCTTTTTAATCATTTATCAGGCTACTTATGAGACATTAACTTTTACTACTGAACTATGAAGGCCAATTTTCATTTTTGAAGGCTAAATGTTTGATATTAAATTAGGCTTGGAGCTGGTTTTTGTCACAGTGAGTTGAAAGTGACTTTACAATCATTTTAGAGTTTAGTGAAATTGGCTCAATCTGATCCAGATATTGAGGCTTTCTGAGGGTTGCTCCACTTTATTACCTGTACTTTCCCTCTTTCAAGGTCTCATTTTATATTTGAGGGCTCTTTCTAGTTGGATCTGGTGACAGCATGGCTTGTGGTAAAAGAGAAAAAAAAATCATATTTTGATCAAACAGACGATCCTGAGAAAGGAAATTTCTCAAGTTATGCTGAATGTTTCCCATAAAGTGGTTGGTAGAAGCATGTGCATAATATTTGCTCAGTTAGACATGAGTACTGTGTTTACATGCAAGGTGGGAATGGATATGAATATGATTTGCCAACATCCCATAAAGAGAGAAAGAAAAAACAATAAAACAATAATGATATTGAGTTTACAATCGTAATAAACTCTACAGTTAAAGACCAATGATAACTGTCCACATGAAGTATAGCACAGTGCAAGTAAACATACGCAAAGTACACGCCAGCTGTTTTATCAGCAACACATCAGCCTCAGACGATGAGTTTAATGACAAGTTCGCGGGAAAAACAAATCAAATCACAAAATAGCTTTAAAAAGGTTTGAGTACAAATTTTAATACCGACAAATACTCGCTTACAACAAGGTCTTCTGAGGAGGAGATTTAAAGATGATGCACGTGAGGCGTTTAGGGAACATTGTTTAATTGTGACATCGACTGAGATTCTGCATGTGATGTATTTCAAGGACAAATTTTAGCTTTTCAAAACAACCTGGGTTAAATACTTACTGCTCTAAACTACACGAGTCTCTGCATGCACATCAGCAACGTCGCGCCACCTCAAGTAAATTCTCAATCTGTGAAAAACACTGAGATAAGATAAAGCATCATGCGTTGCATTTAGTGTAAAGATTGCTGTCGGAGCATCGACGTTCCAAACTGAAATGTTAAACAAGCAAGAAACTCATTCTGTGCCGTGACATTTAGAACCGCGTTTCAGCACCAGGCGGCAAACCGAAACAGAAAGGAATCAGAAATAATAATAAAATACACTGCTTTTAATATAGCCAAAGAAGACATACATTTTACAAGCATTATGTTACAGGTCATTTTTATTAAAAACAACTGGTCGAATGTATAAAATATTTATCTAATTTTTTTACTTCTGTTTGCGATTATTTACATAGTTTGTTAAGAAAGTACCAATGTGTATGGGAAGTGACAAAAAAGTTTATGCCTGCAATGTAATTTTGAATGCACCAAAAATATATAATAAAAGTTATGCTCACCATTGCAACCAATGTAAAAAGTTAGTATGAAGCCCTGACAGACTATAGATGATGGCAGAATATGTTTGCTTCTTATTGTGTTGTAGACCTTTATCATAATAGAAGAAATAATTTAAAAACACCTCAGTAAGCCATATTTCTGCATTAATTAACAGGTTGCTTGATTACAATGAACGTGGACTATGTAGTTTATTTTGAGTCAGTCCGACTGATGAAATCATGCTGCCATCAAACTAACTAAAGCACCAAATCTGTTTTAATCCACAGCAAAAAATAGTCCCCAATAAAAGCATTAATTAATCCTGTTTGAGTGGTGTTTGCTAAAAACTACAGTGCCCAGCCGAAAACTACTTAGCCTTTCTTGAAAGCTAAAAAAAAGTATGTACTTGAGGCCCATTTTTAAAATGTTACGCCTTCATTAGTATAGAATGAACTTGGCTTAGTGCCTCCGTTAAAGTAAAAAAGTACAGGACAGACAGCACAACTTCAACTCAGCGTGCTTATAATAAACACCCACACAACAAAACAAAACTACAATAAATTAGGACTTATTTAAATACACAAAATATACAATAATAAACCTTAAGGTGAAGAAGGTTTGCAATTCGCATATCAAATAAGCTAAATATATTCAAATTCTGTCTGCAAAATACCACTTTGCCTCCCTGACATCAACAAAACTATTGAATAACACCAGCCTTGACCTTAAAGTTGCCACGAAAACTACTTCTCAAAGTAGTTTGTGTTGCATGCTTGCACAAAGAGTATTTATACGCAGCGGTCTGTTCGCTGTAATCTCCTATAATCCCGATGGAAAATAATCGTTAAAGTCTTTTAACTTTGACAGTAACAGGAGGTATGCGTAAAATATATTTATCCCATCATGAGTTTCTTCTCTTCCCTCAAGTTGCGTGAAAGCAGCGAAGGTCACAGAAGTCGTGCTCCTTTGATATTGCGGTGCAACGTATCGAGCACATGATTCAGTGCACCGCAGCGGGAGACTAACCCAAACCGCCCTGCAGCATAATCTCACAGTTATCTAATGCAAATCGTCTCCGAAGGCAGCACACACCAATCTTTTGCTGATGATAGGAAAACGGCCAAGGTGTCCTCTAAAAGTTTGTTTACTTCCATTTCTTCGTCTCCCGAGATGCCAGAGTCACCAGTTGGTGGAATTTATTGCGCCAATTTTCAGCTCATTTCCCTTTTTATTGCCTTTGAGCAATTTATCTAAGTAAACAGGCTGTTTATCTTAATCAGCTCCAGATGTGCTTGTATTGAATTAGTATAAAAGGAAAGGCCCGCTCACCTACTCCAGTCATATATTCCAGGTAACGTCATGTCACGATGTGTGTCATCGTGGGAAATGCTGTAATCAGAACTAAAAGCACACATGTTGCCTCGTGGGTTGTGTCTTTTCCTGTGCTTTTCTGTTTTTATGGAGCATCTTGGATGCCCATTGAGCTAATGGACAACCAATCATTTCAGACATCCACTCCTATAAGGAAGATGAATTTACTGCATCCTTTTAAGAACATGAGGACCATGTGAAGGACATAAGGCAGCTTCAACTGTGTGTCTTTTAGTAAAGAATTCATGAATCCTGTTTCAGAAAAGCCAAAAAGAAATGGTTTATGTTCAAAAAAAAAAAAAGCAGTATACATTAATTATAGCCTAATGTTAAAGGATAATGTTGGTGTTGCTACAAACTCTCTGGCATCCTCCTCTCGTCTCCCAGGCACTCGAGCCCATTTGTCTCTTTAAAAACACGTAATAAATATAAAATCTCACTTTTATAGAGGTTCGGTAATTTCCTCAAACAGCTGGTAACTGTAGTTTTTTTTGCAAACTTTCCTGAAACAACTGTTAAAAGTGCACTTTTTCTGGCCTGTTTTCAGCAGGAGGTTAATACATGGTGCTGTATGTGGGACAGACTGTCTCAGATCTTTTATCAGCAAACTTGGCTGAGTTCAGATGAAGGATTTTCTGGTGGTGTCTGACCTCACCAGAAGGGACATGAAAGGAACTATTTCAGTTAAAAGTTGTGGCTCTGGCCTCACAGCAACAATCCATCTTAAAGGTTCTTCTGCAGGGACATTTGGAAGGTCAAGACTATGACTTTGGCTGCTCTGACTTAAAAAAAATAAAGGCGTTCGTGCTCTTCGGGGTTGTTGTTCCTTAACAGTTAAAGTCTCAAAGTCTCTTAAAACTATCTGGTTTCCTGTTGCTGAAGATTGTTGTTTGTGTAGACATATTTTTCTATCTGACTTACTTGATTTAATCTCTGGCTCTATTTTATTGGGCTTTAAAATGTTTTTCCAACAACTAAATCCTTAAAAACGCCCTCGAAAATTAGATTTTTTTCAGGCTACATTACCTGAAGTCGACTCTTTGATAGTGCAGGAGTGTCGCGCTACTAAATTATTTCACTCTACTTATTTCTTCTCTATTGTTGGGATATTTTAAGGCTTTAAGCATTCCAGTCTGGGTTATCCATTATTTCATTTTGACAAAAAGGCATTTACTTTCATTGCGAACCCAGGCAGAGGCCGACCTTTTCTCCGCCGCAGCCACCATTAATCATCTTGTGGGGGCTGAGTGTAAATGGACGGGCCATCGCGGCTGGGGGGCTCGGCAAGCCGCTGTGATGAGGATGGATGCAGTGAGTTCAGGGAGGAGTGTGAAAACTGTCCAGCTGTGAGGCAAAACACAACGAGTAGCCCCAACAGATCAAACCGGGGCGTGTCGAGAGGACTAACAGAGCAACAGAGGGATAAAACATGTTGTCTGTGTGTACGAGACACGCTGTATCTGTGCGCGTTCGGAGGTCAAGAGGTGGTGCTGCGGCGTTTGCATTTGTTGTAGCTGAGTAGTCGACTCGTACGGCGGATCAGTTTCCCCGACTGTCTCTTCAGCTGCAGAGGTCGAGGTGCAGGTTAGAGTGCAGGCTGGAGGCTCGTACACATGCTGGCGACCTGCAGCTGGATGAGACGGCGAAGGAAAGCAAAAGAGGCAGATTAGAGAGGATGAATGTGTGTGTGGGCAGAGGTGTGTTTGGATGTGAGGCGTGAGAACATGTTGTCTCTCACTCTGCTGGCATTTGACTGTATTTAAACAGACTGCCTCGGAGGAACTTTGACACTTCTAAAGATAAACTCAGGTGCAACTTCTCTCCTTATTTGAGCTTCTTTCAACTGAATGTTGCGGTAATGTGTTTTAAAGCCTTGATATCAACATGGCACTACATCACATGTGTCAATCCACCACTTTTAGTATAGATTATGTGAATACTTTTCTTCCTCCTGTGACATGTACAACCTTCTCTGGTGATCTTCAGTTCACTTGTAGATCTGTTGTACACCAAACAGAGCAGCCTGATCACAAAAAGCATCAGCTAAAACTAGATTTTTTACTCTATCCAATGTGTGACACAGGTCTCCCCAAAGTTTGATTATCACCTGAGTCACACCTCATCTTTGCAGGCTTTTGTTTAAAATCAAACTCTGTGTTCAGCACATCTTGTGATCTGAATTTTGAGGCCTGCAGAATGACTTGTACCAAAGTGCAATGGCTCACAGAAGATCCTCATCAAAGCTTCTTGTCACACCTCACATTCTGACCATCTGCTTTATGAGGCACCTGTGGCCTTTTCTGATATGCATAAATCATCAGTGCAGTTTATTGGTATGGTTTTTACTCTCTTAAATAATTAATTACTATAATTACTATACCTTCTATGATTGTATATTTCAGCTTATCTCTTAAATGTATGCACACACGTAGTGAAAATGGTCTGCGTGGAGATACACTAGACACTCCAGCATCTTTAAAGTCATACAGTGTGGCCTAATAACCTGCTAAGATAGACTGTCTATGTTTT